TAGAGGACGTTTGATTAATGTGACAAAGCCACATCCTTTGGTTGTGGTACAAGGCCAAACCATGACATTGAGCCACAGGGAGAATCCTTGTTCTGCACTCTTAGAATGTCCCTCCTTTATCCTGGATTCTACTGGATTCTATCTCTTTTGGAGACTCGCCTGTTGGTTCTGAGCAAGGCACAAGCTCTCCAAGATGAGAGTGGAGGTAAGAAGTAGAGCCTGAACTCCAGGTAAAACTGTCAGGGAACAAATAACTCTGAATTAGGTGCAAAGTCCTTGGTCAGGTGCCTCCCTTTATGATAAATATACTAGCTTGTTGCGGTGACGGATGGTGAATGAAGCTGGCAGAGGATTGTCAACTGTGGAGAGAATGGGGGTTTCTGGGCCTTGTGTGAGCTGTGTTTCAGACACACAGCCATGGGGAAGAGACCAGCAGTCAACAAGCCAGGTTGCAGGCAGTGTGTAGCCTCCTGACACAAGGGGACACCCTCCCAACCCTTGATTTCCCAAGGGTTACGAGTCCTATGGACGGTGCCCCTTTAGCAGGAACATCCACACCCAGAAAGAGGTACATGAGGCTCAGAAAATAGCACTCCTATGGGTTAAACGGACCTTCCAAAAGTAATCAATTGATGGAAAAAACAGCTTGTTTGAAAAATAATCAAGGGAATGTTGTTTATTCACTTCTGCTTCAGGCAGAAAGAACTTAGACTGCCAGAATCCCTTAAGAAAAGAGGAAAACTCCATTGCTGTTCCCTGCTTTTTCCCTTTATGTACCAAGCCAAGCTCTGACTGCCCAAATGTAGATGCCAGAGGCATGGCAAAGTGAAGAGAGCACCAGGCCAGTCCCCCACTCAGCCCTGCTGGGCTTCGTCACTTGAAACGAGCTAAGAGCCTTCCTCTGGCTGCTTCCTTTCCCATGACACAGTGGGCCAAAGCCAGACTCACCTGTGGCAGACCTCAGAAGGAGCCTGATGAACTGGCCAATGTGTGCCCAACGCACTCAGGTCCCAGGAGGCCGCCCCCACGCACATGGCCACCATGACAGGCCAGTCAAGGCTGTCTGTGCCCTTGATTTCTGTGATGCAGACAACAACCAAGAACAAAGCAATTTGGCCAAACTCACTGTGCAAACCTCAGAGTCAAGGGACTTGAACCAAGATCCGCCAGATCCCACAACCAGGGCCCCACCAGCATGTACACTGCTGTTTTCTCAGGGAGGCTTGGAAGGGGAATGCTCCAACTGTGGAGCTGGTCAGCACATGAGTCCTAAGAACTATGCTCTTGCCGCAAAAGGAGGAAGTTGTCTTAAAGTAAGGGTTCCAGAAACTTCTTAGAGCACAAAAGACCCATTCCTCTCCAGCAAACTCGAATAGCAAGTGCCTAAGTATAGAAACAGAATGTTGTAGCACCTCTCTGATTCTCACCCAAATGGACATCCACTGGGAAATGGATACTGAACCAGGATTAAGTCTATATGCTGAAATATGAGCCTCAAGAACATTACGCTAAGTCTGAGACATCCATCACACACCAGGCTGTGTATCACAGATTTCTATTAACATGAAGTTTCCAGAATGGGCAAGCCTACAGAGACAGAGACAGAAAGCAAACTGGTAGTGGCTGGGGCCAGGGAAGGGAGGAGGAGCAACTGTTTACTGGCTGTAGGTTTCCTTCTGGGGCCACAAAGCGTTTGGAGCTGAAGGGGATGAGGGTTGTTCAGCATTGCCACTCCACTACAGACCACTGATTTGTATAGAACTCAGTGGTTAATTTCACTGTATGTCGACTTTATCTTCATATAGGTGTTGTTTCTAGAATCTTGTCCCATTAGCTTCTCCCTCCACAACACCCTTGTGAGACTCAAGGGTCATTAGATATTATGAAATGTCACCACTGGCAAGTTCATTCTCACATGATCGCTGTTTATCTCCTTCAAGGGTCAAAGGTGGCTCTTCTTAACCTTCCACTAGGAGAAGCCAGCTCCAGTGCCCATGCTGGTCCACCACAGTCTCAAAGCTTTGGCTTCAGAAAACGTCACTGGCTTCAAATTCGAAATTCTAACTACACTAGGAGAGAGACTAACAACCATTCAGTATTTGTTGTCTGTTTCATGTCCAGAAGACAATTTTTACTGTTGAGGAGGAGACTGTTATTAAGTGCCTATTGTATAGTTTTTTCTCATCCTTTATGAATAGAAAAATAAACAGAAGCTCAATATAGTTGTACACAACATTCCCAAGGTCAGGATTTGAATCTCAAGTCTCTTCAGTTCAAGAAAACGATATCAAGGCAGACATCAGCAGGGTCAAGTTCCTCTCTCCATGTGGAAGGTGCATCCAGTCCCACCCCAACAAGGGCCTCATGAGGGACCCTTCAGACGCCCTCTGGCTTAGGCATTAAAGAAAGACAAGGATCACACGTTTGAAAAAGCTCCGATTGGGTGCACATGAGAAATCCTGATTTCCGAAGCTGACTGCCGGTCTTGATTGACTCCAACACTTTACCCAGGGCGAGTCCTTGAGGTCTTAGACTGGGACTGCTTGGATTCAGCACAAAAGCACACTGCATGTATAGATGTGATGCTTTGCCAGGTCATTTCTACTCTGTGGAGTCAAGAATGGCTTCAACTCTTTCTTCACGGAGAAGTTACCATGATGCTGATCACACCCCTTACATATAAACACACTTTACTAGCTTACAAAGTGCTTTCATGCATAATCACTGCTGCTGGGTTTAAAAGGCAAAAAAAAAAAAATGCGAAATGAAGGGAAAATATCAGTAAGTGGCATTTAGCTAAGAATATACAGACTTGCATTGCAGGTTAAGAAAAGGGGGAGAGGAAAGGGATTTTATATTAGAAACAAAGCTGAGTTCTTTAAGTTCTGAATATTCCTGGTTATCAATTTTATAAAAGTCCATGCTTTTTACATTAAAAGTTGAGGGGCTGCTACTTGTGACTTGATAAGTCATAAAGTGCCTCTTCCACCCTTCTCCATCAATGGTCCTGGGCCCCTGTGCTATTGCCATCACATGTGAAAAGGCCGTACCGTCCTTCTACCTCTTCCTATGTTGGTGGCAGCACTAAATAAAGCTCAAGCCACAGCATGGCCTTGAACTTTTTGTTTCCGCCAAAGAAATCAGAACGTCAATATGTCAAGGTTTAGCTAAAGTCTCTGGGTCATCGCACAGCCACCAGAATTCTCCCCGTGGTGCCACCCAGTCTCCAAGGCCTCATCACTGCTGAGACCTACGACTGCTAATAGGATTGAACTTCACTGCAATGAGTCAAAGAATCACAATGACTCCGTTGTTTTCCCTTAGGGATGGCTACAAAGATGCATACACCTCAAACAATTCATGAAATGTGGAATAAAAAGATAAACTTGGGGCTGGTGTTATGGCGCAGTGATAGCTGATGCTGATATCCCATAACAGAATGCCATTTCGAGTCCCAGCTACTCCACTTCCAATCCACTCCCCCACTAACATGCCTGGGAAAACAGCGGAAGGCAGACTGAGTACTTGGGTCCTTGGCTCACAAATGGAGTTTCAGGTTTTGCCTTTCCAATCAATAAGTCTTTAAAAACTAAGAACAACAACAAAAGTTTATTTTGGTGCAAAATTTTTGAAACCCATAGAGAGGACATAGAAAGTTTGTGGAAATATACATTATGAAAAAGTTACGCACAGATTTCAAACCTTGCATCCAAACGCTTCTCTTTTAATTCTGTTTTTGGCTGCCCTGGTGTTTGGGTCACTCACAGGATGACCTGGACATGCTAACACTTTGTGGGAGGAAATGGAAGCCACACCTGGCAGAACTGTCTTCCAGAAGCACAGGTGCAAAGTGGCCAGCAACGGTGACGAAGCCTCTTGAGACCAACCTCAATGCAGCAGGTGCCGCCAAGGCTGACTTAGAACGTGACAAACCCAGACAAATCCTGGTTCAGGGTCAGCTCTCCTGTGGGATGGAGACCCCCTGAGGGGCTGAACCACCACTGCAGCCAGGCCTCCAGCCCAGGCCAGTTAAAAATCAATGCCTTTGGAAGTGGAGGCCCCAGGACTGATATGTTCTTAAAGCTCCCCAGGTGATCCTAATTGAAGTCATTCCCAGCTGGTAAAAGCAAAAGCAAAACCAAACAAGACAAAAACCCACTTGCTTGTGAAAGTGGACATTCCTCCCAGTCTGGAACCATAACGAACCAGAATTTCAGTGTCTGGGAGTGTGGGGGTTGATCTGCTTTGTCAAGTGTTCTAGAAGAGCTATTTGCAATGCCTGTCTGATTTTTCGCCTAAAACATAGACGCCATGATATTTACTCAACGCTTACTGAGTGAAGACCAAAAATTTGGTTAAAAAAAAGAACAACACCACCCAAGTGACATGTCCTTCATTTCTGGGGCAATTCCCAGGGCAGGGGCATGGAACAAGACACACCCAAACAAGCAGCGCCCCACCAGCATCCTTGGTAGCTGGAAGCGAGCAGAATTCAAACCACGGTAAACAGAACTGCCAGAGATTCACTCAATTGCCTCACTTGCAGATTTGGAAACTAAAAGCTTACGTTGCAAGATGCAAGGAGCAAGGAGAAAAAAGGAAGCATTCCTTACCATGACCATGTCCAGTGTCTCAGGTCCCACGGGTGCTCTCCTCATGCATTTTGTCTGCTCCTCCCAGGCCTCGCGGATCGCAGAGGGGCAGGGAAAACCCACCCCCGAGGGAAGGTGGGTTCTTAAAGGAGACTTCCCAGGTCAGGCTCATTATCTCCTAGGAGTACATCACCTGATCTCCAATTGTTAGGCGGGCTCCTGATTTTGAGTCACTGGTTGAGTAGGGCCTGATATTCATTACCTGAAAATATACTGGATGACCTCACATAGCCTTACATCTCATATGTATCAATACCAACAGGCTCCAAGAGCCAAACTGACCTGCCCAGCTGCACGGCTGGTTTGGGAGGCACTCAGGGTGGGCGCCAGCACCCTGCAGATACTTACTGATTGTCTGTCTTCTTCTTGAGGGGGTCCATGAGGCGCAGCGTGTCTCTGATCACGGCCACCTTTACTTCCTCGTCGACGACACTGGGGACATTCTCAAACACCCCTGGAGAGAGCTGGAAGAGGAGTCCTGTGTTATGGCAGAGGGGAGTCGGGGGGAACTTGTGTGGGGCCACATGGCCAGCAGCATCCAGTTCTCCAGCCAGCAGAAGTGGTTGCTGAACCTCATTAAGCGTAAATACCCGCTCCTAAGTCCACAAAACACACCAAGAGGGAAAACAGACCGTGCTTTTCAGATTACCAACACTTGCTGTAGAAAGTCTGTAACTACAGAAAGGGGTTAAGAGAATTAAAAGAAGCCAAATGAACCCCCCAAAAAACTTCAATAGTATTTAGCATTTTTCCTTCTAGCTTTTAAATGCATTTTGGAGAGGGGAGGGGAAAAAAACCACCTAACCACTATTAAATTTACTATTTATCTTAGTGATTCAAGCATGTCGACATGGCTAAATCATATTCATAGAATTTCAATTAGTTCATCTCCTGAGGCTAACTAATTAGTTCGTGTCAGAACTGATGGGAAGGCTCAGCTGCTTCCGCGTTTCCAGACCTTAAAAATGGGAAGAACAGCATGCTGGGAAATTCCCATAGGTCAGATGGGTCTTGTATTAATAGACTGTTCAGAGCACATGTGCACATGCACACACACACGGAAACGAGTTGACTGGAACAAAACTTTGCTCGTGGAAATGTGGGTAACACTGAATCTCCCTTGGCCAGGCGAGCGGTCTGAGAGGGGAGGGGGATGCTGGCAGCAGTGGCCAGCACGAGGGTTGCAGTACTCACTTCTTGCTCATGCTCAATTCTCATGCTGGGGTTGGCGTTGACTTCCAGCAGCACGGGCTTCAGGTTTTTCATTAAGAGAATGTCAAAGCCCAGGATCTGCACAGGACACACATGATGCAGAGTTACTCCCCTCGGGCCACCGTTTCTTTTAAGGAATTGTGTCTGGTTCCTTAGGGTCACTAAAGTGAATAGAAACTCAAACTGGGTCCCTGACCTTGGCCTCGACCCCTGTCCTCTTTTTTTTTTTTTTTTTCGTCCAAAGCCTCTGCTGCTCTGGGTGTGCTTGGCACACCCAGACATTTATAGGAACCTCGGCGAGGGGCTGAGTTTCCACAGTGCATTTCAGAGCCATCTGTGCTTTCAGAGGCATTAGGGTTTTTTGTTTTGTTTTATTATGTTAAGGGTCCACAGTTGTCTGTCAATTTCCACCTCTGCCTCCTTGTCTGCTTCCTCTGTTAAGCTGCTTTGCAGCCAGCCAGATCTCCGGAAGCCATGGGCTGGCCGCTTTAATCTAGAGTATACACCAGCAGTACATAAGGAACCCTTACAGAACCACCATGTCCCCAACCCACTCCAAAGGGGTCACAAGCTCTCCAGGTGAAACTCAGGCCAATGGATTTGGAAGGAAATAAAGAAAACCCAAACCACACCCCTGCAAGTGACTTTGCTGGATCCTATTAGAGGGGGACAAGGAAGCATGTGTTAGATACCTGCCCGGCACCAATGACTATACAACGTGACCACTCTTCACACTCAGTCATGCAACCATCATGACTGTGGGTTGGAAGGAGAGCTGAAACCAAATCTCAGAAAGGCCAGTGCACTACGCAGCTGGGTGATGATAGCGCTGATTGCACATCCAAGCAGGACTGACCACCATACACATGTGATCTGGGACAAGATGAATATGCAAGGACTTCTGTTCAAAGACCATGGGTGAAATGTATCATGGCTGAAAGACAGCCTTCAATGGAGCATGGAGGCCTTCTGAGCACAGAATCCTGTGGATGTGACCTGGCCCTGCAACCCCTGGGACGCACACCAGCACCGGCTGCTGGGCACCTGTCCTTGAATCTGGAGCCCTGCTTTGGCTAAGCCTGTCCTGTTTCCTTCTAGCCTCCCTGGCTTCCTTCAGTTCCTTCATGGCCCTACAACGGGGGCTGGGATCTCCTAGTCTCTGCCTGGAACACCTTTACCCACCCCGGGCCAGGCTGCTCTTTTATGGATTCAGGCTCAGGCGCCAAGGGTTTTGAGTTCTCGGAAGGACTCTCATTATCTTTAGAGGAGTGATAATGTGGAAAGTGGCTGCCATAACTGATAAAAACCCCCTCCAAGTCTCCAAAAGATGATGTGGATAATAAAAAGGAAAAGAGAAGATAAGAGTGGAAGACGCCGCTCATCTGCAGACTCCAGAAGAAAGGACGAGGCAAATCGTGGCTCTGTCAAAGACCCGCCAGCTAGATGATCATTATTCAACTGTGGCTTCATCCTTACTAATGAAATTGGAGCCCTGAATGGCCATGTCAGGGGGTGATTCGAGATGAGGTCATTTTTCAAGGAAGAGCAGTAAGATGAAAAGTTGCAAAAAGTCAGTCCTCAACTCTATTTTTCTTCCCGTGGTCAGGAAAAGAAAGGAATGGCAAGTCGGTAGAGAGGGTGACATGCATTACAGATCTGCTTAATAATATATGACCTGGGGAGATGAGCAATGAGGCCCGCCCGGTGCCGTGGTGACATCAGCCATCTAACTTGGGAGCTCGTCGGAGCGTGTGCTGGTGGCGAGGCCTCAGCTCTCAGTTGATCATCCCCACTCAGCAACTCTCACTTGGTGCCGCAGCTCGGAAGCCTGCACTGGTACTTCCTCAGCCTGGCAGCCGCTTCCCCCAAGCCCCTGTCCAAGCTCCACGCATGCAAAGTCCCCTGTGGCCTGGAATCTGTCTGGCCTGCATGCCAGCTTGATTTCCTATACTTGCTACTGCAGCACAGCTTGGGTTCCAGTTATGTGGAACTCTTAGTGGTTGTAGGATGCTGTGCTGCTTTCTCTGCCTTTTCTACCCTGCCTGGCAGCCAATGCCTACTTTCTCAGATGTCAGTTGAGCACCTGCTAACTTGGCAGGTACCACTCTAGCCACTGGGGATAAAAGTAGTGAACCACACAGACCTCCTGCCCTTTTGGGGCTCCTATTTAGAAAGGAAAGAGACCTCGAGTAAGTTCATCTTTACAGCAAGGTAAGAGTGTGGGGGTGGTGTCATAGTATAGTGGGGAAAGCTGCTTCCTGTTATGCCAGCATCCCATGTGGGCACCAGTTGGAATTCTTGGCTGCTCCACTTCTGATCTAGATCCCTGCTTGCGTGCCTGGGATGGCAGCAGAGGATGGCCCAAGTGCTTGGGTTCCTGGCCTCACATGGGAGACACAGAAGAAGCTCCAGCTTTTTGTCTAGTCCAGCCCTGGCTGTTGCTGCCATTTGGGGAGTGAACCAGTGGATGGAAGATTTCTCTCTCTCTCTCTCCTTCTCTATGCGTTTTTCAAATAAATATTTTTTTTTTTTAATAAAAAAGAATGCAGAGTGTGCTACCTAGGTGTCTCAGTGCAGGTGGCCTATACCATTCCAATGCCTTCTGACATTATTCTTTGTTCTTCTAAGGAAAACGGTGTTTCCACCCCCCACCCCTTGGGCTGCTTTCTTTTAGCACCTGCAGGGTGTGTGTGTGTGTGTGTGTGTGTGTGTGTGTGCCCACCTTACTTGGAGTTGATTTTGTTTGGTTTTGTTTAGCTTCTTGGATAGTGCTTTTATCATTTTTACCAAATCTGGACCTTTTTTTTCTCACTACCAAATTTGGGCCATTATTTCTTCAAATATTTTTCTGTACCTTCCCTCTCTTTTCTGTACCAGGACTCCAATTACACACAGGCTAACCCACTAGGAAATTGCATCTGAGGCCACTGAGAACTTGCAGGATTTTTTCTCCTGTGATTTTTCTTTTTGTTGAATTATGGACAAATTTGAGTTCACACTGGTGACTTTAATGTGCTATTAATTCCATCCAATGACATTTTCTTTTCTTTTCTTTTCTTTTCTTTTTTGCTAGTCTTCACTTGGTTCTAAGAGCTTCCATTCCTCTTTTTAGAAAGCTCAGATTTTCCTTTAGATTCTTCCACAAATTTATAAAAGCTGCTTTTTTTTCACAATAAAATAACATCCTTTCCCTGCTAGTTCTTCATTTCTAAGATTTCTGAGTCTATCTCCATTGAATGGCCTTCCTTCTGGCATAGGCTACTTTTTTCTACTTTGTGTAATGCTTAGTGACTTAAGAGTAAATTGAATGCTAGACATTGTGATGATCAAAGTCAAGTACCTGGATTTTGTCTGCCTTTTTAAGTGCTGGGTTTTCTTTTGGCAATCAAGTAATTTGCAGATTCGGTTTGCTACCTGGTCCAGACCCTGTTGTTGAAGGTTCACCAGAATGGTTCTAGGGTGAGCCTTGTCCTGCAGGAAATTCGACCCCACACATTGGGGCAGAACTTCTTTAATGCCTTGATATCCACCTTGCTCTGTGTGAGCCCCTTACTAGTTCCAGATCATTCTTTGCTTGGATTTGGGTGTGAGCACTCAACATGTACATGGCCTCGGGCTGAACGTGGAGGCAGGGGACTCTTTTCCTAGTCAGCATCTCCCTGTCTAGAACTATGCCCTACAATGTGTGGCCAATTTTGCCTTCTTGAACAGTGACCTCCAGCTGCGTGATTCATCGAGGTCATTAGTATCTGCCAAGGCTCTCTCTTCCTGTGTCCATGATCTGGAAATTTCCCCTAGACACAACCACAGAGCTCTCTGCTTTCCCTGTGCCTGTTTCCCAGGGATCACAGTGCTGAGATGCAGTCTCCCAAACACTTACGGTGTGGACACATACACACCTGTTCCTCATAGCCTAGCTGCTTGCAGAAGGAGGTAAAGTTCACTCCTCATCACCCCAGCACAACCAGAAGCAAATATTTTAGGAGGGGACATATGAATGGGGAAGGGATAAAGTGAGAGAATGGGTCCTTACTGAAGAACTAGGAAACAGCATTTCAGGAAAAAGGAACAGCAAGAACAAGAGTCATTTTTTAAGAACAGCAGGAAGTAAGGAAGACAGAGTGGTAGGGGATGAAGTCTGAAGGCAGACAGGGGGCAAAGTCACATAGCACCTTGTAAACCATGAGAAGGCGCTGGGATCTTAAGTTCAATTTTTTAAAAAGTCATTGGAGTGGGACTATGTAGGGGTGCAATGGGATAAACCACCACCTATGACACCAGAATCCCATACTGGAGCACCAGTTTGAGTCTAAGCTCCTGGCTGATCTGCCTGAGAAAGCAGCAGTAGGTGGCTCAATACTTGGGTCCCTGTCACCCATGTGCAAGACTTTTGATTCTGGTCTCCTGGCTTTAGCCTGGCCCAGTCCTAGCTGTTGCAGCCATTTGGAGAGTGAGGAAGTGGATAGAAGATCTCTCTCTCTCAGCGTGTGGTGGGGAGGGGGAGAGAGAGTGTGTCACTCTGTCTTTTAAAAGAAATAAATATCTTTTAAAAAGTCATTGGAGGATTTAAACAGAGTAAGTAATTTGGACCCAACTTGTATTTCAAAAGTGTCCCTCTGGCACAGCCAGGAAAAGGCTTTCAACAGCAAGGGTGGAGAGCTGAACATTAATTAAGGGGCCATTGCTAAAGTCCAAGTGCAAAATGAGCAGAATCGCTTAGAAGTTGGATATATTTGAAAGTCCATTTGTAGAGATGTTGTGGATTGGACATGGGGAGAAGGAGATGAGAAAAATAAGGATGACTCAGGGTTTTGGTCTAAGTAACTGAGTGAGCGCCGTTTATTTGCTGAAAGAAGAAAGGCCATGGAATATTTGAGGGTTTTTGTTGTTGTTGTTGTTGTTATTATAATGAAATATCTAGAGCAGGCTACTTTATAAAGAAAGCAGGTTTATTCTAGCTTGAGACTGTAGAAGTGCAATACCTAGGGGCCTTGTGGTGGGGGGCACTTCCTGCCGGCAGGGTCTGAAGGGAGCAGAGAGCATTGCACGGCAGGAGAGAGTATGCATGTGTGTGTGTG